GGCGGGAAAGCTCACTGGTGGAAAAGGACCCGGGGGTATTGGTCTATAGCCATCTGAACATGAGCCAGCAGTGTGTCCAGGTGGCTGAGAAGGCCAACAGCATCTTGGCTTGTATCAGAAATAGTGTGGCCGGCAGGAGTAGGGAAGTGATCGTGCCCCTGTACTTGGCACTGGTGAGACTGTAGCTCGAGTGCTGTGTTCAATTTTGGGCCCTTCACTACAAGAAAGACATTGAGGTGCTGGAGCGTATCCAGAGAAGGGCAACAAAGCTGGTGAAGGGGCTGGAGAACGAGTCTTACGAGGAGCGGCTGAGGGAACTGGGGTTGTTTAGTCTGGAGAAGAAGAGGCTCAGGGGAGACCTTACTGCTCTCTGTAACTACCTGAAAGGAGGATGTAGAGAGGTGGGAGTCGGTCTCTTCTGCCAGGTAACGAGCAATAGAATGAGAGGAAACAGCCTCAAGTTGTGCCAGGGGAAGTTCAGATTGGGTATTAGGAAAAATTTCTTCACCAAAAGGGTAGTCAAGCATTGGAACAGACTGCTCATGGAGGTGGTGGAGTCACCTTCCCTGGTGGTATTTAAAAGATGGATAGATGAGGTGCTTAGGGACATGGTTTAGAATTGGAACTGGTAGTGTTAGGTTTATGGTTGGACTTGATAATCTTAAAGGTCTTTTCCAACCAGTACGATTCTATTACTAGGAAATTAAGTATGGTTGCAGTAAAGGTGCTAAAAATTGTGCAGATTTATTAAAATAAAAATTATTGACAATAAATAAAGACTGACAGAGGAGAAAGCAAATTAAACTTCTCACAGGACATATAATCCAACGTATTTAACAACTGTCAAGATTAAAAGTCAGCCTTTATTAAGCAACATACACTTAGTTCTTTAAATCCTGTGTACAACCGTGAAACACGTGCTTCTTTGTTGCTTTACTTCAGGGATCTCTGTGTGATCGTTTTACTGCTCAAAATGAGTCACATTAAATTACTATTAGTGAATTGCAACTGCCCCAGCAATGTTTCTGTTCTTCTAACAAGAATTACATTGGCAGGTTTCCAGTATTAATAACTACTGGATAAAAAATACTCTTGCACTATTTCATTATAATTTCTGGAAGAATCATACTTACAGTCATCCTCCAAGTGTTTCACCCACTTTAAGTCTTGCACATTTCCAGAAGTGACAGTTTGCTTCGTGCATTTCAGTTGCTATGATCTGCAGAGGGTACACTGTTTATATAGCATAGCAGATGTTGTAATTTACCATCAGTAGACAGTAAGTAAGTTTCAGTTTTTCGAGAATGAGGATATTTTATGTACTAGTATTGTGGTCCAAAAGAGATTGAAAATTGCCATAAAGCAGCAGCTAAGAAATCTTTAAGGATGAGGAAATTATGAGGAGTATTCGAGAGTCTGAGAGGGAGACTGATCAGTGGAGCCATACTCTTGTCATCTGAGATGCATGGAAGCCAACTCAGCATGGCCACTAGGGAGGCAAGTCCTGGATCTGCTTTGTACCAGGAGGAAGGCAGTGTCTCAAGGGATGAGGAGGGTTCAAGAAGGTTACAGCACGGAGTGGTAAGGGAAACCTCTCCTTACCCTCTAAGTTAAGTTACCCTTTAAGTTAAGTTACTCTTACAGAACAGGTACAAGGCCCTGGGTATGGTAAATGAAGCACGTAATAAGATAGAGGAGGAACCTACACAAGCAGTCTTGTCAAGGTCAGAGAGACCAACCCCTTACAACAAAACCTGCATTAAGACCAGCACCAAGAAGAAGCAATGGCGAGTTATGGTCATTGGTGATTCCCTCCTGTGCAGAACAGAAGCACCCATTTGCAGACCAGACCCTCTTGTCAAGGAAGTTTGCTGCCTCACTGGGGCCTGAATTAGGGACGTCACCACAAGACTGAAGAGCCCAGTACAACCTTCAGACTGCTGTTCATGCCTGCTCTTTCATGTGGGTACAAATGATGCCACAACAAAAAGTCTGAGGTCACTCAAAAGAGATTTCAGAGCCCTGGAAAGAATGATAAAAATATTGGAAGCATGGGCAGTGTTTTCCTCAATCCTCCTAGTAATAGGGGGAGACTTTGGAAGAAACAGACAAGCCCAGGATATCAATATCTGGCTCCAGGACCGGTGCCTCTGCCAAAACCTTGGGTTTTTAAACCATGAAGGAGCCTTTGAGAGACAGGGTGTGCTGGGGCCTGACAGGATCCACTTGCCCTGTTAGGGAAAGGCGTCTTTGGGTGTAAGCTGATGGGACTGCTCAAGAGAGCTTTAAACTAGAATTGATGGGGGGAAGGCGATAACAACAGGATTGCAGCACGTAAGCCAAGGGTTGGCACAACATCACCTGAGGGTGGCAATGCTAGTGGAAACATTTACACTGCTCCTGGGAGCATGGAGGGCTCAGGAGCATATCTGAAATGCTTGTATTCCAGCGCATGCAGCATGAGAAACAAACAGGATGAACTGGAACTGTTGCTCAGCCTCCAGAGCTACAGTATCGTTGGTATTAGTGAGACTTGGTGGAATGAGTTCCACAGTTGGAGTGCTGGGATGGAGGGCTGCAGGCTTTTCAGGATGGATAGGCAAGGCAGGCAAGGTGGAGGTGTCACACTATATGTAAGGTAGAGATTTGATTGCACAGCCCTTACCATTAGTGATGATGTGGTTGAGAGTCTCTGGGTGAAGATTAGGGAGATGCAAAACAAAGGAGATGCTGTAGTGAGTGTCTACTACTGATTGTCCAGCTAGGACGCAAGCATTGATGAGTTATTGTATAGGCAATTAGGAGAAACTTCAGGATCAGTATCCCTTGTTCTTATGGGAGATTTCAACTTCCCAGACATCAACTGGGAATATCATGCTGCTGTGATGAGCAGGCCTTGGAAATTCTTGAAGTTTGTAGGAGATAACTTCTTGTCACAGGTACTCAGTGAGCCAACTAGGAAAGATGCCCTCCTAGACTTGCTATTTGTGAATAGAGAAAGGCTCGTGGGGGCTGTGATGGTAAGTGGCTGTCTTGGCCACAGTGATCATGAAATGGTTGAGTTTAAAATTTTCAGTGTAATGAGAAAAAAGGACAGCAGAGTTGCTACCCTGGACTTCAGGAAAGCAAACTTTAAGCTATTCAGGAAGCTATTTAGCAGAGTAACCTGGGAATCTGCTTTTGAGGGCTTAGGAGTCCAGATGTTCCAATGAGTCTTTAAGAACCATCTTTTGAAAGCACAGGAGCAGGCAGTTCCACTGTGTTTTAAGTCAAGCAAGTGGGGCAGGGAACCAGCTTGGCTGAACTGGGAACTCCTAAAGGAGCTCAAGAGGAAAAAGAAATTGTATGATCTCTGGAAGTGAGGTCAGGCTTCACCAGAAAAGTGCAGAGCTGTGGTTTGTATGTGCTGGGAGAAGACACGAAAAGTCAAAGCTCAATTAGAGTTGAAACTGGCCAGTGTTGTTTCAGATCTTTTTAAAGTATGTTAATTGCAAGAGAAGGCCTAAAGAAAACATTGGACCAATACTTGTTGAAGGTGGTCATCTGACTAATAGGGATGAGAAAAAAGCAGAGGCTTTCTATTTTTGTTTTGCCTCAGTCTTTGATCATACTGATAGACCTTGGACTGCCTGGTCCCCTGAGTCGGAGGAACACAAGTGTGGGAACAGTAACTTTCCCTTTGTGGACACTGAAATTATAAGGGACCAGCTGGATCAGCTGAATGTTCACAAGTCCATGCGGCCTGATGGGATTCATCCCAGAGTACTGAAGGAGATAGTGGACCACTCACTAGGGAGGTCCCTGCTGACTGAAAGCTACCCAATGTTATTGCAATCTACAAAACCAGCGTGAGGGAAGACCCAGGGAACTACAACCCTGTTAGCATCCTGGGGTGCATCAAACACAGCACAGCCAGACAGTCAAAAGAGGTGATTATCCCGCTGTATTCAGTCATGGTGTGGCCTCACCTTGAGCCCTGTGTGCAGTTCTGGGCCCCACAATTTAGGAAGGGTGTGAAGGTCCTTGAATGCATCCAGAGGAGGGGCACAAAGCTGGTGAAAGGGCTGAAAGGAATGTCCTGTGAGGAGCAGCTAAGGGCTTTGGTCTTGTCTAGTTTGGAGAAAGGAGTCTGAGGGGTGATCTCATTGTTCTCTGCAGCTTCCTGGGGAGGGGAAAGGGAGAGGGGGGTACTGATCTCTTCTCCCTGGGATCTAGTGAAAGGACACGTGGGAATGGTTCAAAGCTGTGCCAGGGAGGTTTAGACTGGACATCACGAATCATTTCTTTACTGAGAGTGTGGTCAAACACCACAACAGGCTTCTTAGAGAGGTGGTAGATGCCCCAAGCCTGTCAGTGTTTAAGAGGCATTTGGACAACGCCCTTAACAATGTGCTTTAACTTTTGGTCAGCTCTGAATTGGTCAGGCAGTTGGACTGGGTGATGGTTGTAGGTCCCTTCCAAATGAAACCGTCTATTCCATTCTGTACTACTACTGAGTTGGCAAAGTTGGTTCTGTAAAGCCCTCTTTTACCTTCAGCCCTTGAAATGGCAAACAATTTTGGTTGAGAGTGGCATCTCCTGGAATTAGTTAATTTTTGACAATACTAATTTTTCATATGAAACCCAATAAATTTCTAGTCTTTTGATACCAAGAAAAAAATTAGAAGGCAAGCAAAAATAACCAACAGCTACAATTCAGAATTTAATTATTTTTAAGAAATATAATGCTATTTGATTAATGCTATACTTTCAAAATCTTATTCTTAACCTATTTTATTTTCAGTCTTAGTTAGGAAATAATTGTTTCCAGTAGTATTTTATTATTTCATTAATAAAACATTATTAGGAACATTATTAGTGGGCCTGATGTTTATAACAGCTGGCTTTTGTAACATTAATATTGGGTGTCAGATTTTACAGTTGACACAATGTGACGTGGGAATAAATAAAGTACATTAGGTGCTTTATTGTAAATTGTACCTTATAATAAAATGCCTCTGATAGCAGAGACATCACGTGGAGATGGGCATAACAGCACAGGTCAGGACTAGCCAAAATAAGCTGCTTTAAAGTGTGCACCTTCTAAACATAGGTGTGCCTCATCTTATTTCATAATAATTACAACATAACAGGATTGTGAAAGAAGCCTCAGCAACAGTTTCCACTCTTGTCATTTGGAATTTACGACTGCAGGGCCCTGGAGCAGCCCTCACTCCGGAGCCCGCGCCTTCCCACGGAAACTGCTGCATTTGCTTTAGGGTTCCCCAGGAAAGCAGAAGGCCAAACTGAGTAGAAGACTGCAGACCTCATTTGGGAAAGGAGCAGTGCTTACTGACTGGCTAGGTCAACAGGCAGGCTTTTCTTTTAACAGCACAGATTTTTCAGTTTCCTAGAAATGAAGAGAAATGTAGAAGAATGAAGAATAATGTGGAAACACAAAATAGTCCAGGTTCTGTATGTCAGTTTAAGCATCAGAACCCATTTTGGCACTCAGGTTCCTTAGTTTGGGTCACTGTTTTTGAATATTTTTACTTTATTGTTATTGTTACTGATATTTTTGATAGAGTAATGCTAAAAAAGAAAAAAAACCCTTTCCTAGTACTACAAGTGCAGGTACAAAATACACTGGTGGTTTTTGGTTGCTGATAGCATCTGACCACCAGGAGCATAACATGGTAGCTAGTATAAAATTGACATAGGTAACCACAGTGTGTTGTTCATGCACTGCTGTATCTTCCAGCTTGTAGAAATTACAGCTAGCCTACTGATCAAGTGCAGTGTTTTCTTCAAATCAGGTGATGGGCTTCTACATTAACATTTTCAGACCCCTACAAAACTGTCCAGCAGAGGTGTGAGCACTGTACTTTTGAATACAGTTCTTACAGAAGGCTGGCTTTTCTTGGTTACTTTATGCAGACCTTTTCTTCAGTGAGGTTGTGGGCCTCCGTGTATTGAAACTGCTGCAGCTTTACTATGTTTCCCATGTTAACCTGTGCTTTTTAAATCACTAGGGTTGATGTGGCACACCTTCCTTATACTGCTGATAAATGCTGTGTGTCACACCTAACACATGATGCTTCCATCTCCCTTTTGGGATGCTGTGTGCGTCAATCCCTGCCTTTTTTCAAGGGTGTGGGCTCCTCCCCTTAAGCCTAGAAAAGACTTAAAAGCAGGCAGCTGTGCCACCTGGATGCAAATCCCCTCCTCTCCTGCAAGGTTGGTTTGGTTCCCATATCTGCCAATAAGTACAAATTCTGATTCCTGCTTCTTGCTGTGCAGTGCTGAGAAGTGGAACCACCCTCGGGCTTCCCAACTCCTCAGGTATTTGCAACTAAAATGAGCTGAATGGTGATGGAATAAACATGCATGAGTAGAAAGTGTGAAAGAGATTCCCAGTGATTGGTAATGTATCTTTAAATAGCTTAAGGACTTCGACTAAATGTACTTCTTTATCATGCTTGAAATTTTGATATCACCTTTGAAATCAGTTTGAGAAGAGGTTTTTCTTTTCTTATTTGACTGTCAAGCTACAACATTGGCTTCAGAAATGTTTGAGGTTTTGTGTCTTTTTGTGGAAGAAGTGACTGTGTATTGAAGTTAAATGAATCTACCAGAAGAATTATGTCTTCTGCAGCAGTGGTTCCACTATCCTTCAGCTTTTTTAAGCTCACATTGTCTGCCCAGTGATTTTTGGTACACTTTTTTTGGCTTGCTCTCATAGTTTCTTTGAAGTTATTTTTAACCAATGTTGACAAACTTTCCAGTTTAAACGTATGTGAAAATCAAAAAAATTGCCACAGCAACATTTGGATAGATTTTCTTTGTCTTGCTTGAATTACGGAGTTTTAAAATAGTTATGAATGGTTGCATTTCTCAAGCTTTTTGTGCAGGTAAAAAAGATTGCATGTAGGCATATAGGTGTATTTTATGATGAATCAGCCCTTGCATATACTGAGCTATATTCAAAGCAAGAAATAATACCCATAATGATTTGCACCATCTTGAAAATGGAATTTTGCTGCTTGATATCCCCTAATTACTATTTTTTCAGTCTTTTAACAAGAACATGTGAGTTTATTCTAATTATATTACTAATGAAAGTTCTATATCACTGTTGCTTCTAATTAATTTGTCTTTACCAGGCATTTCTGTTGCACGTGGTGTTCCCAGGTTCTTTTGACAGAACAGAGCCTCATATGCTGTCAGTAGTAGGATGTCACCTGAGTGCTTATGTCCCTGTGTTGGGTTTGTGTGGTGGGGTTTTTTTGGTAGCAGGTGAGGGACTACAGGGGTAGCCTCTGTGAGGAGCTGCTAGAAGCTTCCCTGGCTACAAGGTGGACCCCTTCCAGCCCAGGCTGAGCCAGTCGGTGATGGTGAAGTGCCTCTGTGAATCCATATTTAAGAAGGGGAAAGAGCAGTTGTGCAACAATGACGACAATAACCCGTAGAGGAGAGAGGAGGGGGATGTGAGAGAGACAACTCCACAGACACCCCGGTCAGTGAGGAAGGAGAGGTCAGAGGTGTGCCAGAGCACAGATTCCCGTGTAGCCCGTGGTGAGATGGCAGGCTGTCCCCCTGCAGCCCATGGAGGTTAATGGTGTGCAGATACCCACCGGTAGCCCATGGAGGACCCCACACCAGAGCGGGAGGCTGTGCCTGAAGGTGGCTGTGACTCAGTGGGAAGCTCATGCCAGAGACAGGGACTCCAACGGAGCTCACGCCATAGCAAGAGACTCAGGAGGAGGTGTGCTGGAGCTGACATTCTCCTCCAGCCCATGGAGAACCCCATGCTGGAGCAGGGTGCTACTCCCAAAGAAGTCTGTGACTCTGTGGGAAGCCTGCACTGGAGCAGTCTGTTCCTGAACTACTGTAGCCCATGGGATGGAGTCATGCTAGAGCAGTTTGTGAAGAACTGCAGCTCGTGGGAGGAACTTCCACTGGAGCAGGCGAGAATGTGTGGAGTCCTACCTCTGAGAAGGAAGGAGAGGCAGAAACAACACGTGACAAACTGACTGCAACCCCCATTCCCTGTCCTCTGTGCTGCTGTGCGGAGAGGAGGTAGAGAAATTGGGAGCAAAGTAATTTGAGCCCGGGGAAGAAGGGAGGAGTCCAGGGAAGATGTTTTAAGATGTGGTTTTATGTCTCATTATCCTGCTCTGATTGATTGGTAAGAAATTAAATTTATTTTTCTGCCCCAAGTCAAGTCAGTTTTGCCCATGACCTTAATTGGTGAGTGATTCCTCCCTGTTCTTATCCCAACCCAGAAGCTCCCTTTCTTATATTCTCCTCCCCATCCCACTGGAGGCAGGGAAATGGGGGGAGTGAGTGAGTGGCCATGTGGTGCTTGGCTGCCAGCTGCAGCTAAACCACCACAGTCCACAAATCTAATCAGCAAGAAAATCAGGAAAGAAGAATAAAAATGATTGAGAATTACTTTTTTCTTCAGATAAGAAGCTCCCTTTCTTATATTTTCTCCTCCCCATCCCACTGGAGGCAGGGAAATGGGGGGAGTGAGTGAGTGGCCATGTGGTGCTTGGCTGCCAGCTGCAGCTAAACCACCACAGTCCACAAATCTAATCAGCAAGAAAATCAGGAAAGAAGAATAAAAATGATTGAGAATTACTTTTTTCTTCAGATAGTAGAGAGTATCTGCTGCTAGACACAATGCAGTTGGCATCTTTCATGCTTTTTCCTTTTCAGCAAGAATGAAAGGAGTAGTTGTAAATCTTCCTTCAGCTGTTACTTCTGTCAGCCAGTAAACAAAAATACTAAAGCTGCTGTGATAAAGCTGAATGGGGCTCTGGTTACTCCACCATCTCAAAGAGAATATAACAACATTAGAAAAAGTCCAGAGATGGGCAGCGATGATGGTCATGAGTATGGAAGCACTGCTGTGAGAGGGAAACTTAAGTAAGCCAGGCCTTCTCATTCAGGAAAAAGTGTTAACTGAGAGCAGAGAGAATATGAGAGAAGATCTCAGAAGTGCTCAGTGGCAAATCCTGAGAGATGCACCATTCATTTTCTTTACCCTACTACCCTGTGGCCGTCAAATGAAGTTGTAGGAGTCAGATTAAAAACAAAAAAGGAAATAATTCTTTATGCAACAGATAATAGAGCTGTGCAACTCATTGCAAGAGGATGTCTTAGTTCCCAACTGTTCATAGGAATTTAAGGGGAGACTGGATAAATACATGAAAGATAAATTCATAGATGTTTCCTACATATAAAGAAGCTGCATCCAGCTGTTCCCTAGACATCCATTTTAACATCATAGTAGAGAGAATATTGGACTAGGTGGTCGTTATGTTTTCTAGGTCTTTAGATGGCCCTTATAGATTTGTGTATGTTCTAAAAGCCTGTGTTTTTAAATGGTCATCCTGAAATCCCATATCAATTTATTTTACTGCTTGTTATGTTGTGGTCAGTAACTCAAATAGGAGAAAATATTAACCAAGCATGTTGCCCAGTACTATTCCATTACCATTTATAAAAGCGGAACTGGTTTCCACAGTTGCATGAAGATTATCACATATCTAAGATTGATGTTGTAGCACAAGCAGTTCTGATGACAGAAAATATTGCAGCCCATTGTTTCAAATTAGACTTAATTCACTCTAATTTTCCTATACCTGAAGAGTCTTGTTCTAGAGTGCTGTGTTGTTTTCTTGGCTTTTTTTTTTAAGGAATGGAGAAGGTGGTTGCTTGTCCATACAAAAGGCCAAATGCTCTCTGTAGGCTGATTTGCTTTCCATGGGCTGGAGGTGGAACTTCTCAACTTGCTCAATGGGGCAAACTCTTCAGCAACTCAATTGAAGGTTAGTCATTTATGTAGTTAAAGCAGAAGTTAAGCAAGTCTGAAATGCACAGTAGCCAATTTTTTTTAATGGAATATAATGTTCTTGAGAGCATTGCAGTCTTTTTCCAATGGGTCTTCTCCAGAAAGGAATTTCATTAGGAATTAGCATTTCCATGAGGGTGCTGAGTTTACTAAGTTTATGTACCACCTTGGATCAAATTATATTTAACTAGGTTAAAAAGTTATATGCTCAGAGCTAAATTTCACAAGACTATAGTACGCTTGTCTGCTTCAGACACTATTGGTATGATTCAGAAACAGCAATACACTGGTATATTGTTATTATGTTAAAAAAAAGCATCACCAAGGTTAACAGTGAAGATATGAGAACTGTTTTTAATGTTGAGAGACTGCACATACTGAACTTCCATTATCCAGTGTGTTTGCATGGTTTTGCACTCCTTGTATCAAAACTAAAGTTTATGGATTTATAACAGTGGAATGACATTTAGTTACAGAGCAAAGAAATTCTCGTTGCTGTCAGGCTATATCAGCACTAAAAAGATCCAGTGCTGAACTATTTGAAGAGGAACCAAGGCTGTTTTCCAGACCTTCCACAAAGAAAAAAAATGATTTAGTATTTATAGAGAGCATTGCCATTGCAATTGTACCAGTCCTCTAAATGCTTGTATGTCATCTGTAAACAGCTGCACAACTAACATCGTTTTCCTTGAAATTAAAAACAAAAAAGAAAAAAAAAAAAAAGCTTTTGTCCACTGGAACTACTTCCAACAAAGTTACTGAGGAGACAGCCTGGGAGCAACTGCAGACACAGATGAATAAAATCGGGATGCAGCCTGCTCTTTCAGAGATACTTTGTGCAGCAAGGAAGGTACAGAAGATGCAAACATTTCTGCACTGCTATCTATGGTATTAGGTAGTGCTTTATTCTATCTCTGCTAAAATACTTTGCATCTGACCCATTACTTCTGTGAGTCTGACAGTATGTATGATGTCAAGGAGATTTCAGAAAATCAACATTTTTTTCTGATCTATTCATTCCTTACTTTCTTGAAAGAGTGAGAGGAAAATCCCCAATTTTAAAAGGAATAGAACAAAAGCATGTAATATATCCTTCTATATAAATATAAATTGCTGTCAATTTATACTGATTCCACATTTTACTGTGTGCAGCGCTGAAGAGCCTGCAAAGAAGAAAACAGGGACTGTACGATCCTAGTGTAGTTTTACTTTCTAATGCTTCCCTCGAAAGGATATATTTTACACAACCCTCAAACTTACTATTATTGAATTTAATGAATGTGTGGTTGTTATTAATACTAATAGTAATAAAGTTGCTTTGAAATCTCAGCTGAGATCAGGACCTTGTGGATTTCTGACCCAAGGCATTTATCAATCAGATCAATTAGTGTCAGGTCCCACCTCTGAGGTGGGAGGAAAGTGACTAAAGTTCTGTAAATCCCCTTGGGCTAAATTAAGGTGAAATGACACCAAATGGTCAGGCACATGTTTTATTTATGATTAAAATAATCTGAACTTGGAAAATTTAAAATGTTGGCACTGTGGGTTCTTATTACAAAAATCTGTAAAGGGGGTAAAAGAAAAGAGACAGGGAAGGAAAGAGACAAAGAAAGATTTCACCACCCGGGGATCCCACGATGGTCTGATGGACGGGGCAGTCCTGCGTTGGTGGGCACGTGGGCGGCAGGACTGGTCGGTCTCTGGTGGTGGGCACACACCTGGTTCCCTCCTGTGAGTCTTTATCCAGTTCAGCCCCCACCTCGAGCGAGGACCGATGTAACTCTTGTGCAGGTGCTGCTGTGAGGGGTGGTCGTGGAGGGTCTTTTCAGGGGTTCTTGGTGGTCATGGAGCCCCTTCCTCCAATGAACTCTGTGTGGCCTTTGGCTGTATATGGTGGTGTTTTGCTCAGCACGTGGGGACACAGAACAGCACCTTCCGCAGCCCCACCTTCTGCACCCCACCTTCTGCACCCTGCTATCACCTTCTGCACCCCCACCTGCTCCTCTTACTGCTGCTTTGTTATGCAGAACTTGCCTAGCTACAATGTTTGAGACACACATTAACTTTTTCAGTCTCTCACAATTGGACAGGCAGCATTTGTGAGTAAAGGAGGGGATGAAAACCTAATCTCTCATAGCATTAAAAGACAGTAGTAGCAATAATGAATACACTACATGAACTGTAAAAAGGATTAATTTAAATTATATATTCTGCAGAACAGGTTAAAAAACATAATGAAAATTATTTTACTGTTTCTATTTGAAATAACTATAATTCTTTTCCCTCCCTCCCTCCCTTCACCTCTTCTGCAGTGTCCTCTGTAAGACTTCCTGGAAGAGAATCTCGTCTTAAGGAGCCTTTTGCAAAAGACATGAAAACTGTAGTTGATGAAATTACAAGCGTTCTGTTAAAAGAATTGCAAGAAAAACCATTTGCATTTTTTGGTCACAGGTAAAAATATGTACGTTTTTAGACAGCCTGGTGAAGGAATTTTATCTCTGAATCTAGAAGCAGATAGTTACTTCTCTTTATTTGCAAAAACTTTAGGAAAATATGTGTCTTTTGTCAAGATCCTAAAACGTTGTTGATCTCAAAGTTATTCATTTATTACTTCAGGCATGATATCTTCTAAAAATAACAGTGTTGTGGGGTTGGGTTTTTTTTACTCTGTGATAAATTGTAAGTGTATTTACTGTTAATATTTGTGTCGCCGCTTACTCTACATGAATGCAAGGAATGAACCGTTCATAAAACACACAGATTTTGAAGATCACTTAGTCCCAAGTATTGAAAATAACTGTTCTTACTGCAAATTAAGGAGACTACTAAAAGAAAGGGAGATTTTAAAAAGGTATTATTTGTAAAACTAGACCATATAGGAATATACTTCATGCCAAATAGCTACTATCACTATAATTACTACTATTACTATAATTTACATGTCATATATGGTTTCAGTAACTGTTCAGGGTAGCCACTTAGCACCGAAATTCAAATTATGTTTAAATTTTACAGTTTTTACATATGTTTTTGCTTACTTTGCTTTAATTTCTCTTTTCACTGCAGTTTTGGATCTTATATTAGTTTTGCAGTTGCACTGCACTTGAAAGAAAAGTATGGACTAGAGCCGATCCATCTTTTTGTATCAGGGGCACATGCCCCAAATGTAAGTTACAGAATCATTAACAGTACAGAACAAAGCAGTGTATTAGCTACCAAAAGTAAAAATAACATTTTACAGTATGGTATGCAGAGTGGCTTTAATACAAAACAGGCATTGCTTCTGAATGCATGCAGAAAAATGTGCTGTTTTCTTAGTGGAAATTAATTAACGTTACGGAATATTCACTGTTGCTAACCTTAGTCTAGGGAGGACAGTCTCCTTGAGCTAATGCTACCTTTTTTGAGTGCTGTAGTATTTACTATGGCCTTTGGTTTAACACTAAAAAATAAAAAAAACCCCAAAATGCAAAGTGCCACTTTGTAACATGTGAAATAACTGTTTTAACCCAGTCTTTCATAAGCCTCCTGCACCAGCCCTCAGTACATTTCTCTCTTTCTTTCTTTCCCTCCTCATTCTTTGTTGGCTTTTTAGCCTGTCTTCAGCTCCTTCTGAGGGTCTGGTGGTTCTGCTCATCTTTCTCAGGACAAAAAGAGTGAAATGGCCTTTTCCCAGCCCTTCTGTCCTCAGACATCATTTGCTGTGTTTGTTCTTCTGTTTCTGGGACTTCTTAGCAATCCTGAGTATGAGCTAGTACTTCATGGAAGCAATTATTATTCTGCAAATTTCCATAATGGGTTGGTCTCTGCAGTCCTACATTAGTTGGATTTGTGTCCGCTGCTAGGCTTTTCCTTCTCTTAAATAGATTATTTTATTAGTTGTATTTCAATAGTGAGAGTCAAACTTTGAACAAAATTAAACCGATGGTTATTTGTCTGTGGAAGTTGCAGACCTTGAGGACTTGGCTCACTCATAATCTGTATTTTCAGCAAACACAGTCCATTAATCCTTTCCAAGGAGTATTCTGCATGGCTGTTAAACTAATTAGTGATTGTATTTTGGAGACAGAGAATCATTGTACTTTTTTACTAAAACAATTCTTCATGAAAATATTATTTAAAGTATAATATATACAACATCTAATCTGTTTTGTCTGGTGCTCACAGTCTGAAGCATTTCTTCCCATCAAAAGCATACCCATATGTGATGCAGAAGATGAAGATATTCTTACATATATACAAATTTTAGGAGGAACTCCTTCTGAGCTTCTGCAAAATGAAGACATTAAGAAACATCTGATACGTACTTTCAGAGAAGACCTTAGAGTTCTTCAGACATTTTCGTAAGTTTTGCAGTTTTGTATTACATTTATATTTGTATTTTACAGTTTTACTTCTGTCTAATCAAGTTTTCTTTTTTCTTTCTCTGTCATTTGTTCTCATTTCTGTTATAAAAATAATATGAAACAATAAACAGTTTTCTCCTTTGTGTGCTTTTCCATTTATATTCTAGTAGTTAAGCCTTAGATGAAAAAACTGCTTATTGTAGCAACTACTACTGTCATTACAGTAGTAAACGTGTCATGGTAGAATACAGTTCTACTTAGGATTCAAAGTTAGCCACTAAAAGGAATATTCTCACATCTCCTATTGTTTTCTGAGGCTAATAAGCTCAACTGATCATCCTTCAGGATCACTGCATTCAGCCTCCTGATCCAAGGCCCCCCTAGCCTCTAACCAGAAGCAAAAGACTCCCCATGTTCAGGCACCTGGAGAGCAACCAGCTGCTGCTGTCCAAACTGCTGTCCCCACTCACAGCTCACGTAGCTGAGTGGTTAAGTCTTCTTACCCTGGCAAAGACAAGTACGCTTTTGGCTGTGGGCCCCATTTTGGCAGTAGGAACCTGGCACTGATAAGGCCCTGAAACATTAGAACTTAAATATAAGCAGACAACATAATCATTTATTGTAGGTGAGAATTTTTATTGCAGGTTGAAGCTCTTTTTTTCCTAATTATTGGATCACTCTTTCTTTAAAATTTTAGACCTAACTGCAGTAGGATAAAGGAGCTAAGAATCTTACAGCTACAGTAATTCTGCCTCCTGGTGTTCTGCACAATCTAATTCCTGAAGTTTGTTACATTTTGGAGGAGAAAGAAAAAGCTATTTTGTATTTGGGCACAAACACCAAATATAGCTATTTCATGGATAGTTTTATTACTACTTTTTCTGTTCACAGTTTTGACAAGGCAGAAAGGAGTATCCCCTTCTCTTGTGATATTACCTGCTTTAATGGGTCTGAAGATAAACCACATGATTTAGAAGGTATTTTGCTTACATGGTTTTCCTGTTATACTTAAGCATTTTCCTGTTGTATTGAATCAGTTAAAGAAGTGTTTTTGAGAGTCTTTTGTCTCCTTCTCAATTGAAACAAATCAACAGAGCAGTCTCAATATATGAACCCAAACAGTTGTTATGGGATTTAAAATAACTATTAAATAATAACTTTGAAATAGTTATGTAAAATGACCTCAATAGTTGACATTTCTCTGACATTTTCAATATCTTTTGCAGCCTGGCATGATCTAACAAGTGGAGATATTTCCTTTTACAATCTTCCCGGAAGTCACTTTTATCTGCTGGAACCCTCTAATGAAATTTTCTTGACAAAACACATAACAAGATGTATAGAAAATTCTGGTCTATGAGTATTACCCACTATTTTAATGGCAGAAGGTGTAAGATTATTCCCAGCACTTCATAATAAGTCATTCTTTCTGTACAGTTGCATGCAGTTATGCCTTAGAGTTGTTCTGTTCCTCCAGATCTTTATTGTATTCCTTTAAAAGTGGGAGTTTTTCTGATTTTTTGAAAATAAACATGGGGTTTGGATCTTAAAGTTCTCATCTTTTCCCCTTTGTCACCCTGCATGTGCACAAACCCTTCACTCTATAACCTCATTTGCGAAAAATGACAGCTATTTTATTTTACTTTTAGAGCTTCTCTGTGCTCCTGTAAAAATGCTAAATATAATTTAATATCCACAAAAATCCACAATTCTTACAGAAAGGTTAATTTACTAGGTTCACATTTATTTAGAATAAGATACAATCTAAAAATAGATATATGTAAATACCCTTTACAGTCAAACAGCTTATACTTAAAAGATTTTACTGTCAGACTACACAATAAGGAGTTAGTATTGCATTTTTTCTCAACAAAGTTAGTTCATTAGCTACTGAAGAGTTAGTTATTAGTGAGAATTATTTTGAGTATTCTAGATCCCATATTTTTCTATCATTGCTTTTGCTTTAGAGATATAGGCATTCATGGCATCTTCCTTTGATAAACCTGCAAAGGAAAGTAGGAGTCATTATATTTCCTCATTTGTCATCCTATAAACATAACTACATGATGTAAATTTAATTGGTGCAACACCTTTTTTCAGGTTCCATGCCTCCCATTTGGCTCTGCCTTTCAAATCTAGCATTCCTGGACATTCTGTCAAAATAAATGCATACCTTTGATTATCATGCAGATTTACATAACATTTGCTTGATTTCATCAAGACATGGGAGTAATTGTGAGGTGTATATATAGGAACAGGAATACCAATATTAATATCTCCAACAGTAGCCTGTTTGTAGAGTCCATATAGTTCCTTCAGTTCTTCATCAGTTGGTCTTGTTTTTAATTTTTTTACATCTTCTGCAGCACTATCAAAGTCAGCCTGATGAAAGAAAAGAAAGTGTTAGTTTTCAAGGGGCGTGCTTAGCACATTAAGTATAACATGCACAGTAGTGTCTAAATTAGATACTCTTAATTATGCACTTGGGTTTAGTGGTAAGCTGGCATTTTCCCATGAAAGAATCTTAATAAAACTGTAAGTTATTAGAAAGGGAACTAGGCCTAATTAGCTGATAGGGTCAGCACTGATAAAATAAGAAAATATCTTTTTTTTTTTTTCCCAACAGTTTTACATCTGAACACCTGTAACAGTTGCAGACTGTCTCGTGTCAGGATGCCTGCAGAGATCCTCATGCAAGCAGCCTATACAACAAATGTAGCATCTGTGTCTTTCACAGTCACGCTAGGGGTATGAAGGCAGTAATAATTTTAACTATTGAGTTGGATCTACAGTTGCAGAAGCACAGTATGTCCTGCAAGATGTGCTATTACACGTGTATTTAACATGTACAAAACCAGCCTACCACTCTGTGCTAAAATCAATGACGTTTTCAACACTGGTGTCAGCACGAGTGCTGTGGCTCTGTTCAGGTACCTGAGCCCATGGCGTTACCTCAGCAGTCTGTACTGTGCTTCTTTAGACCACTTTTTCCTTTCTCTAGTTAAAGATTTTTTTTATTTTTTTTTTAATAAGAAAACCTAATGCACATTTGTCTCCTTAACTGATGCCTTTCTTCTTGGCAAGTGACTGTGCTGAGTGGACCAGGTGACAGAAATATGCAAGTACACATGAGAGTTGGATTCAATGTAGCATTCTGTATTTAAACAGAGAGAAAGTACAAGAGAAGGATAATTTCTGTGTTTAAATTTATGAAGGAAAAATGAAAAAGACTTTATAATTAGAGACTGATGCTCAGATATCTTTCTTCAAAGAAAGGCCCCTTCATGGCATCATGAAACTACATATTCACCGATGTAAGGACACATCAGCTGGTGGCTGTGTGAAGGCAGCGGTAGCAGGTGAAGGAGGGTAAGGACAGGGAGAGGACTGTGCTGCAGCCTTCCTGCCCAGAAACCTGGCCATTCTCTCGCCAAATGAGTCACCTCTGCCTCCCGAGATGGAATTCACTTTTTGGGGGGTTTTTTTAGCCTGGAAATTTAGTCTGGCTAGTGAGTAAAGTTCCCAAACTTCTGAAGAATTTCTAATTTTTTGCAAAATTTTCAATTGCTGTTTGAAACCCACAAAGAGACACAAAAAGTCTTCTAGGAACAAAAGTGCTCACCACAGCAGGATGTACGTCTGTAACACCAAAGGTGAAACAGGGAGCAGCAGGCAGACAGGTACATTTAAAAGGGGTGTTTTTAAAAAAATGTTATATGATTAAAAGAGTGTTCTAGCAAAGGAATGCTCCCTGCAAAACAGCAATTAAAAATAAATCTTTAATCTTCTTTAAACTGCAGTTATAAATTCAGAGAACATTAGATGAGAAACGTTCATGACAATAATCCACATCTCTAGTTCTGTCATTTTATAGCACCCTTAAAAATGCAATGGAAGGAAAACTCTTTGGACAAAAATCCTGCAGCAATGTAGCTGCTTATTAATAAATAATCTTCCAACTCAGCAAGAACCTCTCAGCATTTGCATAACTGACACGCAGAAGTTTCCAGATTCCCACCGAGGCCCCCCAGAACCAAATGCTCAGTAGTGGATGCAGGAGTACAGAAAACAGCTGGGGTGTTACAACGGTCTTTAGCAGGAGGCGGACAGACACCTCGCTACAAGCTAAACCAGAGTCTGAACTCTCAGGACCTGTGAGACACATCGTACTACTTCTTACCTCACTATACACTGACAGATAGGGAGCTTGTCCCTCCATGAAAACAGGCCCAGTCCACTCAGGGCAGGAGCAAGGACAGGGGCAGTTACTGCAGAGCAACTCACATGCTCCAAATTTACATCCCACCTTACCCCAGCGTCACTCCAGACACACCACGCTGCTGCACAGTGTTCCAGGCACTGCTGAGTTAGAACACGAAGGAGTTTTGTACTCCAGGATCAGAACTGTAGTCTAATTACAGAAGAACACAGGTCTGCATATGCACTAAGGAAAGTATTTTTAATAGATGAATAGCATTTATTGTGGAGATGTGCTCAATGAGGGGAAACAAAATCAGCAATGCAACTAACTTATCACTGAACTGAAAACAGCGTCTGAAAGAAACTGGAACTGTACAGTTATGACACTCCTAAAAGCAAAGCATTTACACTCACACTGTTGGTATAGATGTATAAAAGGGATGGACATTTACTTAAGAAAATCAATGTGATGTCCCCCCACCCTTAAGATTTCTTTTATAGGTAAAATTTTATTAAAATAAATATTTCATTCTTAAGCCAAACACCAGTAGATGTGACTTACTTGACTGTACCTATCACTGACTCCTACATCACAGACATCTCTTGATATTATCCAGACATGTACAAACAAAAGCAGCATTCATCCTCTGTTAGCAGTAAGATAATGAAGTGGTATCAGTAATAAAACATAACTGAGCTGACACATGATTACAGTTTAACTAAGTTTTATTTTCATCTTTATCCTGTGGCCACTACTACACATGAGCCTCTGCCAGCACTGACCTACAAGCACTATTCAAGTTGGTGGAAATCTTCCACATGAATTGTCTTCTGATCTAAACTTCACTGTAAGAATGAACAAGAAGTTTTGTTAGACTTGTACAGATAAAAGAAAACAAAAAAAAAAAAATTTTTAAAAAGGAAACCATTAAGTTAACAAGCTTCTTATCTTCATATACATTTATTCTGTTTAGATCTATAGGCAAATATCACAAGATACTGTTTTTAAAATATGCAAGTGCATATCTTGCACAGCAAGAAATATGCAGAAATGAAATTTAAATACTAAACACTTCTTTCTTCATCTCCCTTTAGCCAGTCATTGTGCATAGACTGATGCTTAGGATTTGCTTGCTTACACAACATGCTTAGGAGCAGCCTGAAAAAATACAATTTCCTTTTAATCATGTGCCAATACAATTCCCTTTAACTCATCAAATTAAAAGCATAAGTATATATACAGACATAAACATACACATACACAGATGCACTAAAGATAAATGTACAAATTGTCAGACTAGTATCACATACTCCTTTTTTGCAAAGAAAAAAGCTTGAATGAATTCTTCATTTACAGCAGAATATTTTACCAGTTTGCAGAACTTATAAATCTTTTACAGCCTCTCTCATAAAAACATTATTTTATTAATTTTGTCCTCATTCCCATACAGCTTGATTCGATTAATTTTTATGGATATATATCTGCCAACCAAAATAAGAGTGGACAGAACACTTCTATAATGTCTAATGCAGAATGTGTAGGATACCCTAATATTTCAACCCACTTTTTGTGAGAAAGTGTAACTGTACACCGCAATGGCATATCATACTGCACCCAGCTATTTCTAATAGTGATTTACAGCTCAGTGCTTAAACATCAGACTAATAAATTTCTTTTCTAGAGTGAATTCAAGGCAGAATAAAACAAACTATAATTTCAGTCATCACTAATTAAACTAAGGTGGTGTTATGTTTGAGATTTGGCAATTCTGACCCACTGAGGAAATAGGATTCTTCCTCTTAGCTGTAAAACGCCACAATGAAACCTCTGTGCTATTCCACATAATTGCAGCTCAGAAGAAAATTGCTGAGCTACTGGCAATACACTCCCTGCATTTAGGTCAGAGCATTATGTTGTTCCCTCTTTGCAAAACGCGCACACTACCCGAGCTGAGACAGACATTATAATGAGACTGGGATAAAAGGGCTTGCAAATCTTGAAGTGAAAGGGATAATAGAAAGCTTAATGAAGAAAAACAGCCTAATCCATCAGGGCAGCAGCAAGACAAGGGAAGTATTCATAGTTTGCTACAAAGGTAGGAGGCTAAAAGGCAGCAATGAAGATAATTTCCTCAAGAACTATTGGATCTATAGTCAGAG